GTCCTCCCATTCCCAAAATCTCCGTCATCAGTAACTAAGTACTCTTCTCTGAGACGTCAGACTCTTTCTTCATTCCTACTGAGAAGATCTTGAACACTTTTATGCTTTTATGGGTATAACCAGCTTGCCTGGCACTGGTCTTCCCCAGTCAGATTATCTTTTCAAAGCATAGCTCTGGTCATGATACATAATCCTCTATCATAAATCTTTCATAAAACTAAAGGGAAGAAGCATGTCCTTGTTTCAACCTCTGGACAAGACTCCACCTCAACTTTCTGTATCAAATTGCTTTGTAAATTCCCATTCATTTCTCATAAAATTAAGTCCTACAGTCCTGGGCCTTTCATGATCTACCTCCATCCACCACAGCCAGACTTACCTACTCAATGATTCCCTGCAGCTCCCCCTCCTCCTTTATTCTCACAGTTCCCTCTACCTAGAATATTCTGCCTTCTTAACTAGGAAAACAATTGCTGAATCATATGTTAAATTATGTTTCACTTTTTAAGAAAATGCCAAACTGTTTTCCAAAGCGGCTGTACCATTTTACATTCCCACCACAATGTAGTAGGGTTCCACTTTCTCCACATTCTTACCAACACCTGTTTTATTTTAGCAGGTGTGAAGAGGTATCTCTTCGTGGTTTTGATTTGTATTTCCCTAATGATTAATGATGTCAAACATGGATTTATTGGCCTCAACTTATTTTTGACACATGACACAAAAAGGTTAGCAAAATGCTTTTTTCACTCAACCACTGGAAAATACCCTCCCCACAACTACCTGTCATCAGGTTAATTTATAAATCTCTACCTGTACTATTGTTAGAGAACTAGCTTTTCCATAGTAGGTTATTCAATGTATGTTATTCACTTTACATAATACTGAAAACTACAAACATCTACATTTTACAGTGTGCTAACGTTTCCAAGAAAGGAAAAACTGAAGTACTTCTAATTACCAAAGTCAGAACAGTTGGTTTGGGGATACCTGTCACAATCAATCTGAAATCTACAATTCATATAAAGCCAACACAATATCACTTTTTCCAACACAACTTAAGAAATCCTTAAGTAACTAAGAAGTTCAAATTCTCAAGAGAAACACAATTCAAGAGATGATGGAAATTTGAAATTCCTATCTGTATCAAATGCATCTTGGGATAATCTCTGCTCTAAGTGCCAAGTTAATTTCAAGATGTGTCAGTTTTAGTCTAAAATTTCACTTTTTCCTTACTAGGTAACAAAACCTAATTATGCTAAAACTCTTTTTTATTAAAAAACTCCTACAACCACCAACAGAATAGATCAACTATGATATATTCATACAATGAAATCCCATACTGCAATAAAAGGAAGCAACTACTAATACACGTAACATGAATGAACCTCAAAGATACTGAGAACTAGAAGCCTTACACAAAAGAGTACTGTGTGGTTCTATTTACATGAAATTGAAAATAAGCAAAACTATTTATACTGATAAAAGTCAGAATAGGAAGGACACAGATTGACAGGACAAGAGTAAGAAGGAACGTCCTAGGGGTGATGTAATGTTCTATATGTTAAGAGTAAGGGTTACACAGTGTATGTGTTTGTCAAAACTCATGAAACTGTAACATTTAAGATCCATGCGCTGAAAAAATACACTTTCTTCATAGAAGCAACTATGATAGAAATGGCTATTTCTTATAATCTGTAAAATAAATCACTATTGTCAATTCCTTTTTTAGACCTCGCCACCAATTTAGTTTCAGTGCACCATGCTGTTTTCCCTTCTAATCCTGGATTGTTTTTTTGATAAATTTTCCTCCTCCACTCTCCCTTCATGTTTCTGAAATCTAATCATAATCCCACTTTTCTTCTCTATATGCTCCTTGGATGATCTGCCCCACCACAGTTTCTACTACCACCTATACGCTAAAGACATCCAGATCTATTAAACTTCATATCCATAAATCCAGCTGCAACCAGACATGGTATATTATCACAAGCTTATTATTTATAAACCTAGACCTTTCCTCCGCAAACCCACATCCCCCCCCCAAAATTTGCCTTTCTTGCCCTCTCTATACTAGTTAATAGCACATCTAATCTTAGACTGAAATCTTTCTTAAACATCCTCCCCCTTGAGCAAGTTGCAGCGTTTCACAGAAAGAGGGGGTAACAACAATGGAGCGTTCTTTACACCCCACCTATGGCCCTTACCGTTCCAGTCCAGTTTTTCAACTGCATAGCTGATCAACCCTTCCCACACTACTCTATGAGGATGACGAATGAACAGGATGGTATCTCACACTTAACTTCTAGAGAATAGATACCATTTATCCAGTACCCGCCACCTGCCAAAGACTGAGTCACCTGACACCTCATTTAATATATACTACAGCTGCCCTGAAAAAACTGATCTCACAATAAATTAAGGAACTTGGTCAAGGTCATAAAATTAAAGCTTATAAACCAGCATCTGAATCCAAATTGAGCGAGCCTGGGACTCTAAAGTCCTTCATCTCTATAGGACAAGCCGTAGCCTAATACTCCAATTGGCAAAACCTGAGTGAAATCGCAATACTTTTTAGACCACTCAAAAAGCAGCTGTCGACCATTTTACAGTTGGGAAAATGTCTGCTCTCTGCCTATAACTGCCCAGGCTCACCCAAATATTTGAAGTAACTCATTAAGTCTCCGAATTCTGATCATACAGCCCCTCCTGACCATATTGCTTCCGTCAGCGTCGTCATCCCAGCTCTCAAACCTCGGGCTTGGATGAAGCTTGTCTTTGGGGCAGTGGCAGGAGGGTGACAATGGGGCACTGAGGAGACCGAAAGCTGGACTCCTTAAAAAGAACAGGGCCAAACTTCGGACTCGGTCAGGTCACATTCTGGGCGCCGCCGACCCCACAGGCCACCCCACGACCCACAAGGAACGACTTTGGGGGTCACCTTGACCCTACTGAGTACCAGGCCCAACTTCCATACCCGGCCAGCTTCGCCGGGGGAACAGCTACAGAATTAGAAGCCTCCAGGGCCGCAGGAAGTGGGTGCAGAGAGGCGCTGGGAAGTGCGGGGCGAACTAAATCGAACAGCGAGCAGAAGCCTCGTCTGGCTCCGGCACCGAGACTGCCTGGCGCAGAGACTCAGGCTGCCACTTTCGTCCGAAACAGCGCGACGCTACACGTACCTGAGGGTTATAAGCGTCGGAAGCCCATGCTCCCGCTAATTTCTGCGTGAAGCCACTAAACTTGTAATACATGTCGGCGGGTGTCCGACTTCCCGCAGCCGCTGCCTGCGCGACTGCTCCAGAGAAGGACCCCACCTTCCTGGCTGCAGACCCAGACTCAGCCCAAGGACCCCGCGCCAGGAGACGGGCTGCCCGGTTACCGCCTAATTTAAAACATGTCCTCTTACACCACATACGGGAAAGAGAAGCCGAGTTCTCAAAGCCAAAAAAGGCAAAACCAGCTCTAGAAGAGATCGGAAAGCCTTAGCACCACGCTGTGTAGAAAATACAAGGGTCGCTCTCTTTCCCTCTATGTTTAGATTCGGGCAGTGCCAAGACGCCATAAGAATTGCGCAAGCGCTCTGCGGACCAGGCTGGGGCTGAGGGACCTGCCGAGGTCGAGAGGGCGGGCTGGGGGCGGGGCCTTGGTGGGAGGGGAGGGGTCCTGGGCGGGGCGGGGTGAATAATCTCCTTCCCACCGCGAGAGTCGGAGCTGCGGGGCTGCCAGCTGGTAGTTGGTTTGAAGGCTTCTCTACCTTCACCAAACTTAACTTGCTGTTATCTCATTTCTTTCCTCCCCTAAGTCACTTCGTTAAGCATCCCTCTCTCACTCAGTTGGCCCAGAAGTATGGACCTATCTGCTGGGCTTCTCCGGCAATCTAGGAATGGGGGGAGCAAATTAAACCATTTGGAAACACCTGCCGCGAGCTATTTAGTACTAAGGGCTGTTACGGGTCCCGCCCCAATAATATATAAAGATAGCCTCCTGGGCTTTGTGTAAAGGAAATACATCGTGACCTATAAACTTAAGGCACTGGGACGTAAATTTTGAACAGTTCTCAGAACTGGTTTTTACTATTACCTCAGTTTTATGGGAATAAATTACTCAGCCTTTTCCTGTCCTCTGTCCGAGATAAATGAGATGGAAATGGAGGGGAGGTAGACTATAAATACTCGAAAAATCTGGACCTTGAGCCTGAAAGATCCAGGACTACCACTTTCAGTTCTAGTAGCATCCACTGCAGTTCAATTTAAAGATGTTTTTAGAGCTTCCACTATGTGCAAGTTACTTTATAAAAAGAGTATACTAGTTTCCTACCTCTGGGAATGGAGCAAAGCTTTTCTTGGCTCTATCATCCAACCAGAAGTTTTCACAGGCATATCATAGATGAATTTATAGTGCATTTATGAAGGCATGTGGCAAACTGACAGGTGATACTAACCTGTATATAGCACTTTCCATAAATAACTTACTTAATCTTTACAACAATCCTATGAGATAGATACTGTTATCATCTCTCCATCTTACTATACAGGAAAATGAGGCCCAGAAAAGTTAAGTAACTTGCCCAGGTCAGCTATTAGTGGCAGAGACAGCCACCTGACTCAAGAGTCCATACTCTTAAGCACTACAGTATAGAGAAGTAGAAATAAACCCACTCTGAGAAAGGCGGATGAAGGCTGAGAACTCCAGAGCTAGGTGTACACCACCATCCCAGCTTTGACAGGTGTTAAGCCCAAGGGCCCCAAGTGTTCAGCACTGCCAAGCCTGAAGAGCAGAGTTTTTAGTGTATATTCATGTGATCAACCAGTCCAAAGTCGCTGCTTTTACAAAGCTGCATTGTGATATAAAAGAACATGTGACTGGGGTTTGAGTTGCAATTTCTTCCAGGTTGAGTGACTTACAACTGGTCATTTACATTTGCTGAGCCTGGCTTGCCTCTTCTGAAGTCAACTAGAAATCATCATCATCATCATCATCATATCTTCCCTCACTAGTGCGCTGAGAATCAACAGTTCAGGTTACAAAGTTGCACAAATGTAAGCTGATCTTACCTTTGAGTCATTTTACTTTTCCATGGTTCTTGGCTATATATAAAAATTTCAGTGAACTTTTGATTCCTCTAATTGAAATTAATTAACTTAATTAATTAACTAAATGCTAGAATCACTCATACCAAGAAAGGAGAATGAGCTTGCAAGCAAATACTGGGTGGAAGGAAAGGTTTTTCATAGCGTTTAGATTGCAAAGCAAAATTAAATGATTTAGGACAGCTCCCTATCTCCATCCCACTGTCTTCTAGACATATTTTAGGGGAAAAAAAAGTAGAGAACCTTCCCCAACTTTTAACAGCACTAAGGTGTACCAGCTTCTTGAAGAATAAAGGTGCCTGTCAACACTGGTTATTTTCTTAAAGTTCCTGCCATCTGATTTTAGATCCTGCAAGACATAAATTAAGAATCCTGAAAATGTTACAACAGCCGGGCTGTTCAGTGGGAGATAAAATGTCAGTAGCAGAGTGTGGGCTGGAATGTCACATGGAGTGGCTGATCATAGGAAGATTTTGTCTCATTTCCCAAATAAAACGCAGCACACTCTGACAGCGCTAAAGCACCCTATTCTCATTCTTATTTGCATAATCCCACCCAACACCAAACCAAGATCTTTCTTTATATTGTGATCCCCTCAGGTGGTTCCCTAGATCCTATTCTGAGAGGAAGTGACCACAATTCTCAGTGCAGAGAAGCTTGTTGGTCGCCAAGTGATTTGCATGCAGATGCCCTTCTGGCTCCCGGTGAGTCAGGCTGCTCTCCATTTGTGAGGGCTGTGCACTAATGGCCTCTGGCAGGTCTTTCTCTGAAAGCACTCAGGAATGGATGGAAGACCAATATAAATTTGAAATCAGTTGTACTGAATGTGGATAGGAATGCCTCCTTGTGAAACAGCTCTTAATTTTTTTTATTCTCCAATTTTCTCAGAATTGACTTTCAAAAATTTGACGCTTCATGGATCTGGCAGAGTTAAAGTGTGCCAGCCCTGTAGTAGTTGAGGTCACTGTGGGGCCCTCTTTCTGATTACTTTCACTCTTCCACGGCTTCAGAAGAGTTCATATATCACCTGATTTTGGTGTCGCCAGTTGGGAGCAGAAATATGAGTGATGAACATCTGTTTCAGGCTGATTTAGCACGGAGAGGGCATCTCCTGGATACAGGCTTCCATAAGGCCCTGCTTTCCCCCACATTACTGTTTCTTTGCTGCCAAATCTACAAACTGAAGAACCCCTCTAACCTGGGGAAACACATTTGTGCATGGAGATTTTGCCCATCCTAAGGTAGTTTCCCTGGTGGAAAACCAACTATAATAGTGTCATGTTATGGTTCAGTGTTACCTTTTTTTATTGTGGCTTGTGTCTGCCCTCTCTTTAGCAAAAAAAAAAAAAAAAAAAAAAAAGATGAAGGTAGAGGGAAAACATTTTTCCAGCATTTAAAACTGCTAGCGATACCCCAAGGAAAGCATCCCCAGTAGAACACTGGAAAACAAAATGGAGAGCTACATGCACTTTATGATTCTCAGAAAGATGCCGCCATCCATGCAATTATTCTGTAATTTTCATGTGGCAGAATTAGAAGTCTCAGCTGTCATCTCTTAGTCTTTTTGTCAAATAAAGCCCTATCTGGTGTGGAAATTTTAGGTTTCTCTTTGAAACCTGAAATCCAGATTATATCGATAGTATTGAAAAACAATTCAACCTTTGTTAGAGCATGGTATTCTCACAGCAAAGGAGTTGGGGGTCTGAATGGTGCATTTCTCACCCAAAGGAGGGAAATGGCAGCTGGGACTGCAGTTGCTGGGACAGCTTTATTGCAGTACGGGATGAACATATTGACATCACCTCCCTGCTCTGACCTTCTCACTGTTGAATGTCAATATGGTGTGTGAAGCTGCCTCACTTTTGCCTGCCTGCTTTTCATTATGTGCAAGTCAAAAGCACATCCACAAAGATTATGGATTTAACTCAATTTTGACACATCACATTTCATTTCACTGGTTAAGAAAGACTGAGGTATGACTCATAATTTATTTTAAATCATCTTAAATACACTTAATTATGCATAGAAGAGGTTGAGATTCATAACAAGATTCACGCAATTTTACATGAACATCATCTATAAAAAATACAGTATATGTAATATTGTCCTGTACATAGAATGACAGGATTAGCAGGGCCCTCTCCAGTTTGGGGTCATAGGGTGCTTCCTGATTACTGAAGAGTCTCACTTTCTGCATCACGTATCTCTGCAGTGTTGGAATATTTTACAATGAGCACGTATGACTCTTGTAAGTCCATTCACGCACTGACAAATAAGACAAAATCCCTCAAAGGCATAAAAATTAGAATTTTAAGATGTTTCCATGCACTTCTACTCCAAACTACCAATTCATTTAGAATATTCTTTAATTATCCCTTGCATAGATGTGACAAGCCTATTGAGTGACAGTCTCCAAGGACTAAGCCATAGGAAGGGCCACTTGAGGCCATTCTGATCATTAGAGTTAATATTATAGTGGTCCTTCTCCACAGGGCTTTTGGGGGGAATAAATGAATGAATGAGTAAACAAATGAGAGTTAACACTAGCACTATAGTGGTTCTTCACGGGGCTGCTGGAAAAAAAGGAGGCAAGGAAGGAAGGGAGGGCGGGAGAGGGGAAGAGACAGAAGATGGGAAGAAAGACATCTCCACACACTGCTGTGAGAAACAAACAACCAGACTGGGTAGTTATTAACATGAGCGTCCTGATTACATGAAAATTGAGGATCAAGTGGAAAAGGAGATGAAGAACCATACATCTGGGTCTCAAGAAGGTGAATGTTAATGGACTATTTTCTTTTGAGGTAACAGAACTTTTTGTCTTCAGAAAAATCTGACTCTATCCAATATCTAAACCCGGGGTATTCCAAAGCCATTGAAGTCACCATGTCCAGATCCCAGACCTGCACTAGATTTGAGAACTTAGGCTAGTTTTTTAACCACTCTTGGCCACAGAACATAAATTGCAAATTACAGGGTGTATGCAAGGATTAAATTAGGTAATACGTGCCCCAAAAATTTAAAGAAAATATGTAAATATATGAAAAAACATATGGGAAATAATATTGAGTAAAAATAATAAAACTGGTTCTGTAGTCATGGATACAAGCCAAAAAATCAATTTTGCATGATAGAAAGCATTAGAATTTTAAGTCTACTGGATCGCACGTGCATAAAGTTACCTGTTAAAATAAAAATTGTAACCTAAAAATCTTTCCACTTCCTCAGCTCCTACTGCTTTCTCCCTTTTGCTCTTCTTTCTTCTTTTCTCCTTTCCCCAAGTAGTCCCCCAAATATTAGTTAAGGCCGTGGGACAACCAGACTAGAGCTGTCAGGTGGAACCCAGGATGAAAACAGCCCCCAAGGACAAGGAATCTGTCTTTGGCTTGAAGGCCAAAGAACGGAGCCAGGTGTCACACTAAAATATAGCCAACCTTTCAGCATCAGCATTAGAATAAAAAATCACATCATTTTCAAATGCCAATCCATAATTTTACTTAGCTCCCCTTCCACCTCAGATTCTTAAATAGTGATGATTTGGCATTTCTTTAGTTTCTCTGCTACACAGAAACCCAAAGTCATAGCCCTGACTTCCCATCGGGGAAGGGTGACAGGTACATAGGCCGTAACCCAAGACCAGACTGGGTTTGAATCCCAGCTCTTCCTACCGACAAGCTCAGTTACCTGGGGAAAGTTACTTCCCCACTCTGAGTCTTGGAGGTGAAATGAAGGTTCTAAATCACAAGATTATCAATGCATTAGGAGGGAGCAAAGTTACCAGCTTGTGTTCGTGACTACCTGGGCGCAGCTCACCAGGTGATTCCAGAATTCCAAGATGATTTGGGGATGAGGGCTGGGGAGGTCAGCCTGGGTCTTCTTCCAAGAAATAGTTGCCTCTGACTATCACCATGATAGTCTGGGAAGCAAGGCCATGGTGGGGAAAGTGGAAGAAAGTTACAAATCTCAGGAAAGTGTTTAAGGGGAAAGCAAATCTTCCCCTTAAAAGAAAGGGAGCTAAAGAAAGTATGACATTCCCCAACCCCAGCTGAGAAAGTCAGAATGCCCCAGTTAAGAGCTCTAGGGCCTGGAACTCCCAGCCACACCCCTGCCCTCCAACTCAGTAAAGGAATTTGCTAAAGCACCAATGCAAACAACCCAAAGGTTTCCAGCTGAAGTCAGGCTTTTTAACAGCAGGGAGAGCCGGAAGAAGATGTGATTGTCGGTGTATAATTGTGCAATCTTCACATCTCATTCAACCCCCAAACTTCAAGGCTACCCTATCCTCTTTCCTGATACCCATTCTTAGATCCCAGCAGCCCACGGATGCAAGCTAACTGCATCCATTTTCATCTAAATCATAATAGAGGTAAAAATCGAATCAAGGTGTTTGTGTTTTCTGCCCCAAGCAGAAGCAATCGCTCTGCAAACACACACAGCCTTGTTTCGGCACAGATGTCAGGAACGCCAAGCCTGTAAATCTGCCCAGGCAGTTCTGTTCTTGAATCATTAAGAACAACCGAGTGGGTGGAAGGAGAACATGAAATTGCTGTGTGCACTCATGTTTTGTTTATGGAGCAATCATTTCTAGACGTGTTTGCTTTTTTTATGGAGAATCCTTTCTATGTTTGCTTTTGAATACCCCACCTTCCTTCCTGTGCCCAGCTCTCTCACACCCACTAAAGAGAAACACTGAGAGCGTTAACGAAAATCTCCGCACATTTGAAGAACAGGTTACATTAACTGTCTCTAAACCATTTCCATTTACTTGGTCAAAATAAATGATTTAGGATTATGAATAACACAGTTAACAACTGAATTTGAACACTGTGTATTGTTTACCAAGCTCATAACAACTGCTTCCAAATCAAAAAAGTCACTTTCCTTTGTCCATTGTTGTGCGAGGACCTGTTAGCCCAGTGAATGGAAAGTCCTGTGATGCTGATTATCAG